TGCTCCATCTCTGCTCGGTAGTACGTGGGATAGTACTTTTCACGAATCATCTCCTTGAATCTGTCCCATGTACAACCTTCTTTTTCGCCAGGACGCATACTCCAGTAAGCATTCCACCAGAGTCGACCATCACTAGTCAACTGAAGCTTTGCGCATGTAACGCGATAGTTATCTGGACAGTCCATGACCTCGAAAATCAATTCAAGGCCCTGAACCCACTCGTCTACGATATGAGGATCTCCCTGGCCGGAGAATTTCTTGGGGTGGTAGTCGCAAAATTGTGCGACTACTGTGGCATGAGGGACAACCTGACGATCGGGTTCCCTACGGGGTGACATCTGCATATTGAAAAGATTCAACATGATCAAAATACAAAGAAATATTTTAACTGATCATTAAAGTGCACAAATCTCTTGACGAGTTGCTAAACATGACTGGGAAATACTGACATTACATCATGGGTATACTCGCTACTGATCCTGAACATGATTCGAGCAGCTTAACTAATTCATAAAAAGAAAAAATTCTGAGCATAGACATAATAATTTGTTTATAATTTAAAAACATGAATCAGCACTTACCTGTAGTCGGCGAGGCGTGAGCATGACGTTTTCAGGTTTTTAAAAATTTTTTACTCGTAAAAAAATTCAGAGACGGAGAAACGTGCTATGATACCAACTGTAACACCCCGCCATGACATGAAAATCAGAGTGCGTTTTTCGCAACGGTTTTCAAAACAAAACATTTAAGTTGCGAATTATTGATTCGGAGTGCTACCATAATACATGACTTACTTTCAAATCAGACTGTTTTTAAGAAAACGAACTCACAGTCTGCTGACTGGTCAAAAGGGCTAAGTTTGACAAACAATGAAAATTCAACGGAAACTGTAGTGGCAAAACATAATAACAGTGCTGCGATCATGTAAATAAGTTTACGGGAGACAATAGAGCACTGCTATGCTAAATTCAAACTGTGCAAAACATAATTTAAACTTTATAAGCATAGCTCCCGTATAATTTAAAATTTATAAGCATAATCCTGAACCGATCGCCATCTCACACCTCTAGACCGACTCCATGACCTGAAAAACATAATAAACATGGGGCGTGAGTACCACTGTACTCCGTAGGAACTCATACTAAAGTAAAGAGTGAAAATAATTATAATAACATGATCCTGGCATATATAACTGAACTGAACTGAAACCGGTACTGAATAATCATGATCTGATACTGATGTCGTGATAATCATCACCTGCCTGATACCTGAACATCTGCCAGCATAAATGTCGGACACCATGTGCACACTCTAGTGGGCAGACTAAGGCCACTAGAACTCAAAATGGACTGGCGACCATTCCGAGCGGATACTGATAATACATACCTCAAACATGGTAGAATAATTATAATCAATGTAATACACAGACTGAGTCCCCACCTGATCTGTCTGAATAAAAAGGTAGTGCTGATAATCGTATCCTGATCAAACTGAAAAATAATATAAACAATTACAAAATACTATGCTCAAACTGATAAAAATAGCTTTTTGATCTACTAGACTTAAACAAGATATTTGGATTTAACCGGTATATCCAGAACTGGCTAAAATCGGAATTAAACTGATATGAATTTACTGAACTGGATC